CAATCGGTCGGCCTCCCCGCCGTGCTCAAGACGGCGCAGATGGGTTACGACGGCAAAGGCCAACGCGTCATCAAGGACGCGTCGCAACTCGAAGCGACCTGGAACGCGATCGGCCCCGGCGAGTGCATCCTCGAAGCGTTCATCGACTTCACGCGCGAGGTGTCGGTGCTCGTCGCCCGCGGCGTCGACGGCGAGACGGTCCTCTACGGCCCAATCGAGAACGAGCACGCCGACCACATCCTCGACGTGTCGGTGTTGCCCGCCCCCGGCACGACGCCGGCGATCGCCCATGAAGCCGCACGGATCGCAACGCGCGTCGCCGAGGGGCTCGACGCGGTCGGCCTGTTGTGCGTCGAGATGTTCCAGACGTGGAATGGCGCGCTGCTGGTGAACGAGATCGCCCCGCGTCCGCACAACTCGGGCCACCTCACGATCGAGGGCTGCCGCACGAGCCAGTTCGAGCAACAAGTCCGCGCCGTCGCCGGCCTCCCGCTCGGCTCGCCCGAATCGCTCCGCCCCGCGGCGATGGCGAACCTCCTCGGCGACCTCTGGTACGCCCCCAACGGCGCCCCGCGCGAACCGAACTGGTCCGCCGCATTAGCCGAAGGCGCGAGCCTCCACCTCTACGGTAAAGAATCCCCCAGAGCCGGCCGCAAGATGGGCCACCTCACGATCCTCGGCGACACGCCGGAGGCGGTGAGGGACGCGGCAAGAGCGGCGCGCGAGCGGCTGCGGAGCTAAGTTGGCCGGCCCACCGTCCATGATGCGCCGCTTGCGTAAGCAGTCATACCAACATTGCAACACGCCGAACTCAAGATGCACAGTACCAATTAAGCGGCCCACCCGAGAGACTTCATTCTCTCGCGAACGTCATCGTAGTTGTATAGACTTCCTTCTGAAAAACCTTGTGTACCGATGAACTGAATAAAAGATTCCCAGTGAGCACGGGTCGACTCTCCGAGATCCTCGGTTAGATCGAAGAACTGTTTCAATATATCTGGCATCTCGCCTGCGCTCCAAATCTGCGCATTGCTTGAAGCAGCGATAAGCATTGCCCCTACATCGCTTGCCGTCAGATGCGGAGCTATTGGAAGCAACACCCGCTTCCCTAAATCACCGGCGTCCTTGAAAGAAGTGGCATTCGAGAACAATCGAATTGCTTCTTGTGAAAACTCTGCCCGAGGAGCCTTTTGAATGATCAGCTTCCGGTTAATCTCGCTTACATTACCAAAAGCCAGTAGGGCATCTTCTCGCAACTTATCTACGCCGACAGCTGTTACGATAGACTGCAAGTCGGTAACGTCTTTTGCAAGATGAGTTCCAGAAGAGTTTTTCGACCCAAAACTCGACAATAAGTTCCGCAATTGGATTTGCACTGGACTATCAAGCATATCCCAGATTTGCGGTGTCTTCTTAAGCAGCGGAAAGACTCGTCTCGTGATGGAATCATCCGCTCCCTGGAGGCATTGACGCAACTTTTGAGGGGCCACTCTCTGAAACAGCAATGCATGTCGATTCGCTATAGAGAAAATAGCGTACCTAACATTCACTTCATGGCCGATCAGCTGAGGCTCTGATTCGCGAATTATCACTTTAAATAGTGCTGAGATCATCGACTCAACTAACGACTCCTTTGCGTGATCCAGGTATCTTTTGTTCATAAACTCCTGCACATCTTCGTCTCGCTCTGGAAACGAAGGTTGAATTAAGTCTTGATGGAGTTGCGCAAGTGCTGACTTGCCTTGAACGGGCGGGTTGCTCAAGAGCGATTTTATGGAGGTCACAATATGTTGACGAACCAGCTCTGGAGTGGGATCGAAAAGGAGATCGGTCTGCACAAACCCTGGATGAGCGCACGCGTCGCGATCGATCTTCAGCCTTTCCAAGTCTTTACGCTCGCGCTCACCGACAAATTCATGCACTTCGGCGGCGGTCTTTATCAGATCGCGTTCTATGTCTTGTAGCTTGCGAACATTTGACGACTGCACTGCGCCGTCTAGGTCTACAATGAACGCAAGGGCGGCTCTGTCGCCTTGATAAGACAGTTCTCTGACTTTGCTTATTATGTCGTAAGCCACTGCTATCCAGAGAGATACCAATGACGCTCTGTTCAAGCCGTTTCGATGTGCCAAGATTGCCTCGTGAGCATATTTTCGACTATTGATGTCGCGAACGCTAAGCAACAGCTCGTCCAAGTCAGATAGAACTGTAGCCATATTGGGGTTACCAGCCTTAGCATTTGCATGCCGTGGTGCTTTCGGCAGATGGCATTTGACGTCACGCTTGTTTTATACGGATTGCAGTTCACTGAATCCATCGGTGCCGGGTGGCTGGGTTCGAAGGCGATAGCCGTAGCCCCCAGCGTTTAGCGAGGGGACGCCGCCCTTCCGATCTCATAAAGTGGAACCTCTCTCCACTTCGCTGGGGGCTTCGCTACGCTGCGACCCCAGCCACCCTGACCCAACCGCACCTCCGCTGCAGCAGGGACCCGTTATCGCTAAGAGAGTGCTCCCTGGGCGCTGGGCCGCCGCTTTGGCTCCGCGGAAGTCAGTTCCGACCATTGAGCCGTCGGGGCGCTATTTTGCTGGTCGATGCCGCCTCCAGAGAAAGCTCCGGTGACGAAGTCGAGTTGGCACGTTAATCGCTCTCACTTGCTAATCCCTCAGAGTGCCCTACCGCTCACTACGGCTTGAGTGCGTTCATCGAACACCCCTACAGGACCCTACGACAATGACCGCCAAAGCCGCCCAGGCGACCCGCTCGCGACAGATTGAACTCGCTTCGCGCCCCGAGGGCGTTCCGCAGAAGAGCAACTTCAAGACCACCACGGCTGAGCTTTCGCCGATCGCCGAGGGGGAGTTCTTGGTCAAGAACGAGTGGATGTCGGTGGACCCCTACATGCGCGGCCGCATGAAAGCGGGGGAGAGCTATGTCCCGCCCTTTGAAATCGGCGAGCCGCTCGAAGGGGGCTGCCTTGGCAAGGTCGTCGAGTCGCGGCATCCCGATTTTGCGGAGGGGGACACCGTTCTGGGCAACCTCGGATGGCGCGAGTATTGGAAGTCGCGCGGCGAGGGCGTCACGAAAGTGGACCCCGATCTCGCTCCCGTCCAGGCGTACCTCGGCGTTCTCGGGATGACGGGGCTGACCGCGTGG